CTCGGCAGATCACAAGGGCTGAAGTAGAGAAGGGAGGGAGAAGCCTGGGTTTCTTTGAGGGATATTACTTCCTACCTAGTGATTACAGAGCAGATGAAACCCTCTCAGAAGAGATTATCTCATCCAGCTAAGAGATGGCTTTTTAATGGATAGACAGTATACCCGCCTTTAAAGCCTGCTGAAAAGAAGGAAGACCCTTCAAACATGGCTCTGCTTCCACTAGTTTGCTGGACAAAGTCAAAAAGTAATTAAAGGTTCTCAAAAACAATAATACAAAAAATCTGCAAAGAGGAAAAACATCACAGCAAACACAAGGTGACCAGATCTCTGACGCCAAAGAGAAAGCATTAAGTTCATTCCACCTGTGTATTTCATCCACACAAGTATGGACACCCCAAAGGAGAGGCTAGGATGGAATTTCTTGTGCTAGCAATTGGATGAGCCATGTTTTGTGCTCATACACAGCGCCACGCGGATGCTCGCCTACCCAGAACAGGGAACCAACTTGCTTCTGGCCAACGATGTTTAATGAGCAGAGCCTGAATAATTCACAAATTTGTTTCTTGTCTCTCCAACAAGTTACAAACAAACCCAACTGAAAACCATCATAAATAAATGAATTTGCATGGGAGGTGCCATAGAGGAGTTTGATATGCTGCGGATTCTGTGTGCAGGGTTGGCAACAGGAAGGGCAAGTTGGATTTGGGGGGGTAAATTATTCATTGTAAATTATTTGTGCCACTCTCAACTCCACACAGAAGCATACAGGCAGGAGGAAAAAAAAAAAAAAAAAACAGAGAGCAGAGGGGAAAAAAGAAAAAGAAATGAGGAAGGAAAGCATCCAGCAATGATTATAGACTGCTTTAGCGTGCAGTGGGAACACTGTTCTTATCATCTCTGCTATCGTCGCCTCCAATTCGAAGCCTCTTTGTTTAAAGAAAGGGGAAAATAACCCAAAAGGTGTCTTGATGAATGCAAGGCAATTGCATGGGCTGCAGACGGAGCTCACGCTCATTGCAGCTGCTTCATATGCGCAGCATCAGCCCTCAGTGCCATTGCTACAGAGTTATACGAGCCCCTGAAGGTTCCCAGGCAAGATGGCAGGGAACCTGATGTAATTACCAACATTATTACCATTAAAGAAAAATAATAATTTTAATTACAGCTAGGGCTTCGGGGTCTGTCTCCAGTCCTCCTCATCTCTGCTCACCAGCCAGCACAGCCTGCTTCCAGGCTGTGTAATGGGACAGGGCAGGATGGCCCCCTCCTTTCTCTCCCCTTTCTGCACAATTTAAAAAGTGCTGTTTTCATCACACCGACACATTAAAGATGCAAATGGTAACCAGTGATGGCTCATGAAAGCTCAGGAAAGCCACCCCAAGCAGCAGTGACTGCTGATGGCAAGCGTCCACACGCATCCCCATTTAAAACAAAGGGGGAAATAGAGCTGAGTGCAGATGTGACACCTGTAAGCTGGCCCTTTCCAAACTGATGCTGTGTGCAGCCTCTCCCACCTTGCCTTTTGCTGTTGTTGGCATGAACCCAAGAAGAGCACCTTCTTTTACAGACCTTTGGCAGAGGGAGGGGAGGACAGAGACCTTCTTCAGCAGAGGAAAAGCTCAGTGATGATATATGGGCCTTACACAGATCAATAGGTGGCGCTTAGAGATGAGCTGCGTGCCTTTGGGAAACAGTCCTGCTGTAAATAATATCACTTGGCCAGTCATAGGTATTTCTTTGAGAGGTGAGTGTCCTCTGGTGAGAGCACTGAGCAGCCCCGAGCTTGGCCAGGGACAGGTTTTACCTAGTGGTACAACTTTCTTCATAAATCCTCAGAGGTAACAGCAGAAAAGAGAGGGTTTTCAGAAGAAGGGAGAACCCCCTGTGGATAAGTTCCTGAGCAAGGAAGCACACAATTAAGCAAACTTTCTGCCTGTGTGTGAAGTCTGCTGATGCTCTGGAGAGAAGGACGTGGCTTGAATTTGGCTAACAGGCTCAGAACCACCCCACACAACAGCCTTGGAACCCAAGGGCCTTGGTGTCTTGAGGAACCCAAGATGTTGAACTAGAGACACCCCAGCTCCTGGAAACAGCGGAGATCATCACAAAGTCATAATTGGGCTACATGCTCCAATGGCCTGGTGCTTAGGGTCTGGGATGTGGAAAAACAGTAGGAACCCAGGGCCAAGGATCTAGCCCCATCTCGATGCCAGGAATCACAGAACCAGTGCACAGGCTTGGATCTACTCCATGTAAAACTGCTGAACCACAGCAACACAGGGAGACCGGGTTTCCTCCAGACCCACTGAAATGTGAAAACAGATCAGACAGAGCAGACTGGAGTCGTCAGGGACTGAGGCATCACCCCACCAGCCAGCCACAGGGTCAGCAGCACATCTTCCCTGACTCGAAAGCCAAGCTCAGAGACTCCCCCCCCAAAAAAAAGTCACAGTACCCCAGGGTTGGAGGAAGATGAGGAGGACATGGGAAAAGTGAAGCAGGAGGGTTGTACACAGGAGGAGCACAAACCCTGAAGGTCAGTGCAGCAAGCAGGAGAGTGTGGCTCACTGATGGACACCAGCAGCACCATGGGGCACGGGCACGGTGCACACGTCCTCGCAAACTGGAAAGCCATAAAAGTCTATTACGGCAAATCAAACAGCAGTCAGCATGACAGCCATTAGCCTGAAATGAATACACGAGAACTTAATGAGCTCTGTCGAGGCCAGCTTGGTGAATTAAGTTGCCAATTCTAGCAGGATTCCCCTTTCTTTACAGACTGGAGCGCGCCCGCGCTGCCTCGTTGCCTCCTAACGAGCGGCCGGCGGCATGCCCTTGCCCAGATGGGATGTACCATTATGCTGCAGACACCCCTGTGTCCCGCACCAGCCCATGTCCAGCTTTTTTGGCCAGGGATGGTGAGGACCTGCTGAGCATAGGAGATGCACAGCAGCTGCTCTATGCCCTCAGAGCCATGGTAAAGCCAGATGCCCACTGCCCTCATCCCCATCTTGTGCTGGAGAACGGCAGCCTGCATCCAAATAATTCATGTTCACAAATCAAGCAGACTGCGGAAAATGCTGGGACGGGTGTTTAGAGGCAGTATTGTTTTTAAAGGTCAGTTTACTTCATGTTCCATTTATTTATGCACACTCTTCTTTTGACTTTCCCAGCGCCGCACAATAGTGGCGAGGTTTAAATGGCCTTTCTGTTGCTGCTCCATTAGCTAGGACAACTGCAAATCGATACATCCATTTATCTCAAAATTAAAAAGAGAAAAACCCTCATTAGCTGCCAATTCTACACAGGTCCAGTCTAAGCAAAACCACTAGTGCTTCTGCTGGTGTGCACTCCATTCCCAAACTCCTATCTCCATTCATTCATTATCCAACGGTGGTCATTGACACATTTGGGTACTCGCAGCCTTGCCACTGGCCCTGGGCTGTTAGAGCTTGGGGACAGTGCCATCTTCTATCTGCTTCCTGCACCCACACCAAACTTCAGCTGCTTGCAGCCAAAGCGAGAGAGCACCTCTACCTTGAGAGCTGAGTGGGAAATGTCCCTGCCTATTCCCTCGTGGGCTGCAACCTCCAGAGACACCCCATCCATGCCCTGCTTGCACGCAGTCTGCCAAAGAAATGCCGTCTGCCCAGCAGAGGAACAGAAGTGCCTGTAGGACGCTGGCTGAGCAAAGGGTTTGTGGCTCATTACCTCTGGTTGGTGCCCTTGCTTAAAGATCACGGATGGAAACTGAGAACTGGCACACAGTGCCTTATAATTAGATTAGGCCAACTTCCAAAGCAGCATGGCTCTAATGGCTGAGGGGGTATGTGGGGGCACAAACCAGGCTGTGCCCCAAGCGCTCACAGCCCTCATTTCCTCCCCAGTGCCTTTGCTCTCCCTGCTCCCTAGGCTTCACACAGAGGTTGAGGGCTGACACATGGAAGGCTTCATTCATGTGCTCAGGTCACCCAGCCCAACTCCAGCCCACCCATATCTGCCCATGTCCCTCAGTGTCACATCTCTACAGCTTTGCAATGCGTCTGGGGATGGTGACTCCCCCACCTCCCTGCACAGCCTGTGCCACTGCATCACTACTCTTTCGGAGAATAAATTTTTTCCTAATACCCAACCTGAAGCTTTCCAATACTGGTTAAGGAGAGTAACGAAAGACATGCACCTATCGGCATCCAGAAGTCTAAGCAAAAATGTGAGAGCATGGAGCAGCTCGTGCATTCCCTGCCAAGTCATTTCTGCACCATCCATGCTGCAAGGAGGAGAAGAAATGGCTCTGGCTCTGTGCCACTGTGGAGAGAGGTTCTGGGGGACTCGGTGCGAGGCAGGCAGCACGACCAGGAGATGAGCTCCTGGCTCCCACGTCATAGGCTGCCTAACACAGAGCTCATCCTCACAGCAGGGTGAGAAGAACCCAGCCCAGCACAGTGAGATAAACCATGGTAATGTAATTGTTTGTACCTCTCCATCATTGGAGGCTGCTTGATTTCACACACACACATACTTGACCTCACCCACGCCTTGAGGTGTGCTCAGGGATGAACAGGGAACAACAGGAAAAGCTTCATCCACAGGAGAACATGGAATGCTCTATTTCAAACACAACACTCTGAGCTTGTTATCCTCCTCCTAACACCAGCAGGTTGAGGAGCATTTCTGCCAAAACTAGCTCTAGGTGCAGAAGGTCTCCTTAAGAAGGTGCCAGCACTGAGAGATCATGACAGAATAGTATGGAAACCTATCCTCGGAGATATTCAACACCTGGGATGGATAAAGCCCCAAGCAACCTGATCTGACATTATATCATCTCTGTTTTAGCAGGAGGCTGGGCTAGGTGACTTCTGCTGGTCCCTTCCCACCTCCATCATTCCAGGCCCTCATGGGACAAGTCCTGCTTTCCCCAGACTCCATCATTTTACTTCTCCCCACCATCAAGAGCCTCCAGGATGGAATGCTCAGCAGCAACCATGTGGTGAGGCACCTACCTCAGGTATGCGGACACTGTAGGGCTGGTTGTGGAACTGTGGTGCATTGTCATTCACATCTCCCACTTGGATGTTGACCGTCCCCTTGATCACCTGTGGCCACGGGGATGAGGACAGTGAGTGGGCATCAGCCTTATGTATATACTTAGAAGCTAACTTGAGCTGGTGGCTGCTTTCCCCTGCATTGACTTGCCTTGGTGCTGCCCCCAGCCCACTCCCCAGGGCCAGGGTGACCCATCCCCTACACTCCCCTCCGCACACGCCGCAGACCATGAAATGAGAAGTCACACTTACCCCCTGGCTGTCGCTGACAGAAAATTCAACCGTGAATTCTGACTTGGTCTGAAAGGGAAGGAGAAGAAAAACATATAATTAAAGATACTGGAGTGTTTATCTGCAGATGGCAGGCTTGGGACTTTTAGCCAATATTATTACATGCAAAATGCTTTCAGGACCTTCAAAAGAAGAGAAGGGGCGCTTGAGTGCAATTACCTCTGCTGAGGACAAGTGCTGAGAAGCACGGCTGGCTAGCAGGGCTCCAGCAGATTCACAACACTGAGAAATACCCTGCTCGGGTTGGGAAGATGCAGGGAACCTCAGCTCCAGCCCACAGCTGAGCTCTCGGAGCACTGCTGCCACCTTCCCAAAAATTCCTGCCCCAGGATACCATGTTGCTGGGAGCACTGGGATGAGCATAGGGAATTAATGGGTTGAAACCCCCTAAGTGCATTCAATAACCCCCATGCAGTCCTCCGTGCCCCTTACGGCTTTAACTGATTTAACAGGCTGTCCTGAAACTGTGATGTATCACAGTCGCAGGTGCTAGGGTGAGAGACAGGCTGGTGAGAGGGGAATGTTGGGTGTCAGGAGCAGGATATTGCTAGCAAAGGTAGGGCTGTTCTTCTCAACTTTTCTCCCCCCACCTTCCCCCCCCATCAGCAATCATGCTGCTCACGTTTTACTAAAGAATGATGCTGAATGGGAAGACCAGCTTTGACCACCATATCTACCTGGTGGTTTGATTCCCAGCCCCAGACACGCACCCTGCAGTCCTCAGCTTCCCTCTATATCCCAGTCCCTGCCTGCAGCAGGAGCACTGAGTACAGCAACAAGCAATGCTCCTGCTCAATGCTCAGCTGGAAAGTCAGGGGGAGCATCTCCCTGTGTTGCAGACCTGGGTGATTTATTCCAAACAAGAGCGGTGTAGGGACGAGCAGCAGCTGTCAGTGCCAAGACCGGGAGCATTACTTGCAGCAAAACAGCAGCTCATCCTACAGAAGGGTTTGGGAAGCAACTGACACCACATTTGCCCAATCCACCACCTCCAGGCCTCTGAGTTGGTTAATACAACTCATCTCCTGGGATATCCACCCTGCTGCCTCTGCTCAAGGAGGGACAGGCAGTAGGGAAGGCAAGAAAAATAGAAGACAAAAAACACACAGTTAAGTATCTGATCTTAAGAACTGGGTAGACAGAATAACCAGAGAAATCTGTCACACTCATGCTTGCCCACACATTTTCTATAATCAACAAATACATAGAGCGGTGTGGTTAGATCAGTATCCAGAGACCACATAGCTGGAAAGATCATCACATTGGAAAGGGATAATTGGAAACAAATGGAAAATGCTCACCCGTGTCATAGGCTCACAAGACAAACTTCAAGAGGAGCAACCACCAAAAAGAGATCCTTCTGCAGTGGCAGTCAGCCCTCAAACAGGGTCTAGGAGGGGTGCAGCCTGGCTCCACCCCTTCTGGTCACACAGCTGAATTGCCTTCACCTGTGCTCCTGCAACTGACTTGGTGCTTGCCTCGGGTGACCAATCAGAGGTTCAGGCTGTGATTCAACAATTCCCATAAACCCCTCATTGTAGTGTGTGCATTTTTTGGCTCAGGGCTTTTCTTTTTTGGTAAAAAACTGTTTTCCTTCAAATCTTTGTGGGAGTGAAAAGACCTTAAAAATAATAATCATTTTGCCTCACATCTGGCTCCTCTTCTTTTGCTCTATTTTCCCTCTCCCTGCATCATTTATCTTGATGTAACTCCCTCTGCCTTTCCTTCCTCTCTCCCCTGAACTGTTACTTTCCCCTATATGTACAAAAACTTGCTCCCCCTTCCCTACCACTTCTCTCAGACGGCTTTCTATGCCTGGATTTCTGGACAGCATGCAGCCGGATGGGGAGAACCCCAGGCAGAGCTGTTACCTCTCTGTCCAGGGGCTGCCGGAGCCAGACAACTCCAGTGACACTTTCCACAGCGAAGAACCTGCTGGCCTCCTCGCCAACCACACCAAACACCAGCGGGTCATTGTCTAGGTCCCGGGCCAGCAGCTGGGTCACTGAGGAGCCTGTGAGACAGAGAAAAGAAATCATCAGTGGAACGCTCTCAGGGGGGCGGTTTACATTGGGCAGTAGGGAGGATTTGTTCATGGAGAGGCACTGGGATGGGCTGCCCAGGGCAGCAGTGGAGTCCCCATCTCTGGAGCAGTCCAACAGATATGTGGATGTGGCACTAAGGGACGTGATTTGCTGATGGGACTTGGTAGGTCAAGTTGGTGGTTGGACTTGGTGATCTTGAAGGGCTTTTTCAACTGAGAACATCGTACAGCTCTACAAAATGCTGAAAATACTCGGCTTGCCAGCCATTCTGGGCACCACAGAAAGTGGAAGAATCTTCGACTCATCTAAGGCAAGGGCCCACAAATCAGGCTGCCACAAGTGCTGGGTGTTTCTTGTGGCAGCAGTGACACGGACTCCGTTGCTGGTGCAGAATGGAGACCTTCATTGTCCGTGCTTACAACCTTTTATTCTCACAAAACAACCCCTTGGTCACATGTACCAACCGGGCGCCTCATGCGTGCTGGCGCAAGTAGCTACCAAACTTGTTTACTCATTTGCAAGGTAATGACTTTATTTGTCCCACAACTCCCCCTTGTTTGTTAATTTGAACAACAAGCATTTGGTATTAATATAAAGAGTATATGCCAACAAACATGCAAAAACCAAAAAACACATTGATCTGTGTGATCTTTCAGACGCATGGTCCCAAACCTTGATATCACCCATCAAGCTAAACCCATGAGTTTTCAATATGTAGCTTTTGCCCCACTAATCAAAAATTTTTGAGGTTGTTGTCACACTGCTGCAGTATTCACAGTCCAGTTGCCACCATAGGCTTCAGTTGTGAGGATACCCAGAAGGTTGTCATGTGTCCAAAGCAGCAGCAGATGCTGATGGTAGAGTCAAGCAGGGTTTTATGACTCTGGCTGGAACCCATCATGGTCCAGCATCTGTGGAAACGCAAGCATAACCTCTTCCCCTCTTTTTTTTTTTTTTTTTCTTTTTTCTTTTTTTTTCAAGGATAGGGAAATCTATTATTAAATCACTGAAATTACCTATTCAGAACCAGAATTATGAAAACCAGGCAGGTGCAGGTAAGATATACAGTTGTAAATACACACATTACATTCTTAAACGCCAAGCATACGTCTGCAGCTACTGCTCCCATACGCTGACGATGAGCCCCGGGTGCTCGCGGTGGTGGCTCTGCGCTCCAGCGCCTTTTGTTGTGCAGATTCTCCCTAAAAGCCCATCCACATCACGTGCTGAGTATTTGTCAATTGTGCCAAGGTCTTGCAATCACGAAGAAAAGCGCGTAACTTTTCATAACAGAGCTCAATAGATTACTGGTATGGGGAGAGCCGAGCCCGAATCCGAAAACCGAAATCACTGGACAGCCGAGAGCCGAATGCAATCTCTGAACGATGTTAAAATCCCCCTCCAGCTCAGCTTCTTTGCGGATCGCTGGCCAAACTTCACGCCGATCGGGGGGTTTCAGGTCTGGTTCCTTTCTCGAGCTCATCAGCCTGGGGTCTAAAGGATCGCTGTCCTCATCATCGCGGTCCTTTACAGCGGCTCCCACCACAGCAGGAGCCGTGGGTTCTATTGGGAAGATGGATTCCGCATGTTCTTGTAGCGACTCAAATACCGGTCTCCAAGGCCCCAGAAGGTCTTTAACCACAGGGTCAGAGCTCGTAGCTGCGCCTCACTCCGGCTTTGTCCCACGTTTCTACGGCATAGATCATAGCCCCATCTATTCCTTCTACATTACGAGAGACAAAAGCCGCCTTAAATAGAAGCTTTCCACTTCAGCGTGGTGCTTCTGCAAAACCGTTTGCAGTATTTTGCAGACCGCCTCCAGCCCCTTTGTTACTCTCGTTCCCGTTGGTCCCCGTTGCTCACCTCCGTCCTGCAGAAGTGATTCTGGCTGTGCAGCTTGGTCCTGTTTCCTCTCAGCAGATTTCGGGTCCAACTTCCTTTCAGCACCATAATTCTTTGCCACAGGTCAGCTTGATGGCTGATTATCCCCCGAGGCTGACCCTGATACAGTGTCCCTTTGTGGCAGGATAGGCACAGACTCTGTTGTTGGTGCAGAACGGAGACCTTTATTGTCCGCGCTTACAACCTTTTATACCCGCAACAGCGCCTTGGTCGCACGTACCAACCGGGCGCCTCGTGCGTGCTTACATCTGGCGCAAGTAGCTACCAAACTTGTTTACTCATTTGCAAGGTAATGACTTTCTTTGTCCCACAGTTTCTCTTCGAAATTGGAAATGCAATGCTTGGAAAAATGACTAGGATAGCAATAACAGCAGGATTGTGTCTGCCGTGTACAAAGGCAGCAGCTTTGGACCTCCGGAGCCATGTTTTGCAGAGCTGTGTTTCATACATTTTTGCCCCCGGTCTCCTCCCCTCTGGGGCATTTTTACACTTTCTTCAATACACTTTCACAGAGGCGCCGAAACGCGGCAACGGACGCCCAAGACATCCGCAACCCCCCCTTTGGCAGCACAAGGGCACCCCACAACCCTAAAACACGGGGATGAGAATGAAGGTGACCTGTCTTGGAGCAGGAGAGATGCTTGGCACCAGGCAATTACAGAGCGCTTGGTCCAGCATCAATCACAGCAAAAATAATGGCAAAGCTGATACGAGATTCCATTAATAAAGAATTAATAGAATTGATAGGAACGTAATTAATGCCAGTCAACATAATTTTATGGAAAATAGGCCTTGTCAAACAAACCTGATTTTATTCTTTGATGAGATTACATTTTTTGGCAGATAAAGGTAACTGTGGAGAAGTAATAGACTTTTGTAAGACATTTGACTTAGTGCCGTGTGACTTTCTGATTAAAAATTTAGCACTGTATGATAACCAGCAAGTGTGCTCAGCTGAGGACAACCAGCAGGTGCCAGAGCTACTGGCCACTGGTAGGGGACATCCCAGCGCGACGCTGAATTGCTGTCAGCACAAATTCAGGTGACACGAAGATTGACAGCATGGCAAACAGCAGGGGAGAGAGAGCAGTCAGGTGAAACGCTCGGTAATTTGGATCTGTTTGGATAGAAAAAGGAATAATAATAAAAAATAAAAAAGGAGGTTTTCACAACCCCACTCCAAACGTCCTCGAAGGAAAGCTGGTGGGGCACAGTGGCAGAGAAGGGAGACTTAAAGTCAATTGTCCTAGTAGGATACATTTATGAGAAAAGAGAGATGACTCAGGCTGTCTCGAGCACATCCGCAATGAGGACAAACGTAACACTTAAAGATGACTATTCCAGCACAGGAGAGCACAGCAAGCCCAGTGCTCAAAAAAGACAAATCTCTATTAGAAGAAAGTACTTCTAATAGAAGCACTTCTAGTTGAGAGGAACTACGGCTAACTGCTGGAAAATGAAAAAATATATCTATAGATCTCTCTATATACGTATCTATCCTTTTCACCAGTACAGGTTCAGTGCAGTGATGGGTCTTGATCAAAGACAGAATGGGTGAAGTCCCAGCCCACTGTGATCAGGCAATCCATCAGCAACTTGCCCATCTATTTGATGACTGCAAGCATAAGGAGATGAAAGGTGACCTACACCTTCTCAAACCTCACAGTCCTTATACAAAACAAGCTACTGGCTTGTGTTTATCTCAGAGGACATCTGAAGCCATTCTTAGCAAAGGTTTCTTTGCCCCAGGAGATGGGTAAGCCTGTGACCATGCCTGTGACAGTGACAGCCAATAACAAAGACAAGGCAAACCCAGCATCATTACTCTCCATTTTATAAAATTTTATAGGAGAAACTGATTTTCCCCCTTTGTACCTTGTACAGAAATGTAGACCAACAGGGTATTAGCAACCTGGGGGAGATGCCTATGTGCTCCTCCTCTGCTTCAGACCCCAAAAGGTCTCGGCTCCATTTCACAGTGCAAGGGAAAAGATCTTAAAAATCCTGCTGAACAGCAAAACCGTGTCCCACCCTGTTCTAATCATAGATGCATTCATGGCTCGTGTGCTGCAAACCCACTTGTACAAAAAAATCAGGCAGCAAACGAATATTTAACTCTTCTCTGTCACCCTGCATTCCAGTTACCTTCCGCTGGCAGGGAATTCAGTTCCTAACTGGGGGAAGCTGGGGGCCAGCATGAAGTGGCTGAGGGTTGAGAGCATCCCACCACCTGCACCCCTGGCTGCTGCCAGCTTGCCATGTGCAGCCAGATTCCTGCCAAGCACACCGCGCGTTGTGGGAAACAAGAACCATGCTTGCATACAGACAAAAATAACAAATTAAAGAGGAGATAACAAGAAGTCGGCCCCCAAAACAAGATAAGAGACTTCACAATCTCCATTACATTCCTTACTCTGATTTTTGCATATTTTTGCAATTTCTCCTTGGGAGAAAGCTAAGTTTAGGCACATGGTGCAAGGCAGGTGTGCAGGCTGCTCCTGTAGCGAGGCAGTGTGAAGACTGGGAAAGCACTGCAAGAGCAGCATGAGAAAGGTGCAGGAAATAACTGCAAAAAGAAGTGGGCTCCCCTTAGACAGGGAGTAATACATTCATCAGAAACCCCTTTTGTGGTATTTGCAAATGAAAAGTAGTGTCTGGGCTGTGCTGAGGGAGCAGCTGATGCCACAGACCTGAGAACCAGCCTGGCAAGGGCCTAGGCTGAGGAAACAGGGACAAATTATCCTTTTGCAGTTCAAAGTTATGGGCTCCATTTGTTTCCCCTCAGGAATCAGACAGGGCAGTTAAGTGTCTTGATTCCAGCAGATAATCACAATTTATCTTGTCTCCTTTTGCTTCCTTTCTCTCAATCACAGCTACTTCTCTCCCTTTCTCACACGTACACAGATTTCCTTCTTTTTCCAAGTCTTGAACTCTGATTGACCTCGGGAGCTTGTTGTCACTGTTGTTTTATTCCCCTAGGAGTTGGTTTTGTGAGGTTTGACTGCTTTACAGGGGCATACTTTTCATAGAATCATAGAACCATGGAACCACTTAGGTTGGCAAAGCC